AGAAGTTTCATTTCAATGATTTCTGTGACTGGGGACGGGACAGTACAGCTCAACCAACCCCATGAACCCAGCCCAGGCACCCACCCCGTGCTGGGACACCCCTCATTTGGGTGAGGCTCCATCCAAACCGCCTCAGGGATGGCTCTGCCCCTGGGACACTCATGACATCCCAGTGGTGACAGGCACGGGGGATGGTGCGTGGAGTCAACACACCAGGACAGACATAACCCACTCCGCCTCTGCGTGCCTCAGTTTCCCCCTTTGCACACCTTCGCACCCAAATCACCCCCTTTGCATTATCTGTGCAAAACTCAGTCCCAGCCCTTCCCTGCCATGTGGCAGTCCCTGTCCCCAGTGCCTGGCAGGACCCCACACCCCTCTGATCCCAAATCCCCCCATCTCTTCCCAGCGTACAAAGAGAAGATGAAGGAGCTGCCTCTTGTCTCCCTCTTCTGCTCCTGTTTCCTCTCGGACCCCTTGAACAAGCCGGCGTACACGTACGAAGGTAGGAGCCTGCTGCCCACCCATGGGGGGCTGTGGGGGGCTGCAGATCCCCCTTGACATGAGCAGGGGCACCCTCAAACCAAGAGAGGTTTATGGAGGCAGGGGATGGGTTGGGGTTGAGTATTTTTTACTCAAAATTGAGTAGGGGCTCAGTATATTTTAAGTGAAATGTATGGAGTCACCATCCCTGGAAGTGCCCATAAACGTGTTGATGTGGCACTTGGGGACATGGTTTAGTGGCCATGGTGGTGTTGGGTTGATGGTTGGACTTGATTACCTTAGAGGCCTTCTCCAGCCTTAATGATTTGATGTTTCTATGGTCCCATTCCCAGTCCCCAAAGCAGGGCTCACCCAAATATTCCCAGCCCAAATACTCCCCTCAGCTCGCCCAAATATTCCCAGCTTAACCCCCTTGATGGGTGTCATGGAGTCCCTGCTCCAACCCATGACACTGGGGCTGAACCCCAGGGATTTGGGTGAAACCCATGGAGATCGGGGAAGGTGGTGGCACCTTGAGGGATCTACAGGTGTGGGACCCCGAGATGGTTTGCCCAAAAAGCTGGGATCATCAACCCATAACCCTCTCCCAGCAGACACTGTAGACCTCACCTGGTGCGTCATCTCCGACATGGAAGTCATCGAGCTCAACAAGAGGACCTCGGGGCAGTCCTTTGAGGTCATCCTGAAGCCCCCATCATTTGATGGCATCCCCGAATTCAATGCCTCCCTGCCCCGGCGGCGCGACCCATCCCTAGAGGAGATCCAGAAGAAGCTGGAGGCAGCGGAGGAGAGGAGAAAGGTAGGTTCACAGCATGGGGATGTGCCATGGAGACACGTAACCTTGCACTACCCCACCTTTGGGGCCATAGCTGAGTTTGGAGGGGGTGGTTTTGGCCAAAAGGGGAAGGAACCCATAGCCATCATGGTTTGTCCCCGCAGTACCAAGAGGCTGAGCTGCTGAAGCATCTGGCGGAGAAGCGGGAGCACGAGCGGGAGGTGATCCAAAAGGCCATCGAGGAGAACAACAACTTCATCAAAATGGCCAAGGAGAAGCTGGCACAGAAGATGGAGTCCAACAAGGAGAACCGCGAAGCCCATTTGGCGGCCATGCTGGAGCGCTTGCAGGAGAAGGTGAGGAGGAAAGGGGGACGCGCTGGGACACCGGTCCAGGAGGGTGTCACAGGACACGGGCACCCTGCATGGCTCTTGGGGTGGCATCACCTCCTGGGGACACCACCAAAATGGGATCCCTCTTCCCCTCCCACTGAGAGGCGATGCCCAAAGCAATGTCTCACCTTGGGGTGGGGTGTCCATAGGCTCACAAGCGGTTGGCGGGTGGAGATTTGGGACCTGTACCTCGTCCATAGACACGCAAAACCTTCGCTTTCCCCATGTCCTGCCATGATGGCCTTGAGTCCTTGCGATGTTCCCACCTCCTGGGTGGCAGATCTTCCCGTGGTCCCTTCCCCAGTGGCCATGCTGCCATGCTTGGAGATGCTTCCAGCCTGTGCAGACCTCT